GACCATGTCTTTGCAGTAAGCCCATCACCTAACACAGAAACACTGAGAAACACAGAGGCATGAAAAGATGTTGATAGCAGTTTTCAAATAGAGCTGAGGCTGCTCCTCTGATATGGAGCTTTGTCCCTAACAACCTTTACATGCAGGGCAGTAATGTAGTGATGTAATGTTAAACTGTTATTGAGACTCAGGCTGAAAACTTTATTATATTCAGGCCGGAAAGTTGTCAAATTTAGAAAAAAAAAAAATATATATATATATTTCACCTTTCCTTGTGTAGGTTGGTGGTTTCAATGGAACCAGCCGTCTGCATACTGCTGAGGCCTACAACCCCAACAATAACACCTGGCACAATGTGCCACACATGATGAACCCCCGTAGTCACTTTGGCATCGCAGTGATCGATGACCGCCTCTTTGTGGTGGGGGGTTTCAACGGCTTCACCACCACGCCTGATGTTGAGTGCTATGATATGGAAACTGGTGAATGGTCTGATGTCTGTGACATGGAGATCTCCCGCAGCGCCCTGAGCTGCTGCGTGGTGTACGGACACAACTACATGGACGAATATGCTGCCACTCGTTACTCCCTGCAATCCTCAGATGTAGAGGATGAAGTGATGAAGATCTGACTATGACTTGTATTGTTCTGTAAATAAATGTCTCTATACATTAAACTACAGCATTGCTATTTTAAGTTTGTGTACTAACTCCCTGGAGAAGAATCAAAACATCACAAAAACAGTACACTGTACAAAAAGACAAAGTCGGTAGAGACAGAGAGAGCCTTTGTTCCACTGTGTTCGACTGCAGTTTTCCAGCTGTGACAAGGCCACCAGGAGCTGATTGGGCCACTCTAGATGATGTTTGTGATCCCACATGTCCTATTGCAGCATGTTTGAGAAGCATAATACCCAATCCTCCCCGATTGGGTATTAGGCAGCAAGTGAACATTTAGTCCAGAAATTTGATGTGTTGGAAGCAGCATAATGGCCAGTGTAAGGATCTGAGCGACTTTGACAAGGGCCACATTGTGATGGCTAGATGACGGTCAGAGCATCTCCAAAACTGTAGGTCTTGTTGAGTGTTCCTGGTCTGCAGTGGTTAGTAGCTACCAGAAGTGGTCTAAGGAAGGACAACTGGTGAACCAGTGACAGGGTCATGGGCACCCAAGGCTCATTGATGTGCATGGGGAGTGAAGGATAGTCTGTGTTGTCTGATCCCACAGAAGAGCTACTGTAGCAAAAATTGATGAAAAATGCTGGTTCTGATAGAAAGGTGTGACAACACAGTGCATCACAGCTACCTCTGTATGGGGCTGCGTAGCCGCAGCCCGTCAGAGACCCCTGTCCACTGCTGAAAGCACCTACAGTGGGCACGTGAGCATCAGAACTAATGGAAGAAGTTGGCCTGGTCTGATGAATCACGTTTTTTTTTACATCATATTGATGGCCGGGTGCATTAGTGGGGAAAAGATGTCACCAGGATGCACTATGGGAAGAAGGCAAGCCAGTGGAGGCAGTGTGGTGCGTTGGGCATTGTTCTGCTGGGAAACCTTGGGTCCTGCCATTGATGTGGATGTTACTTTGACACGTACCAGTTACCTAAACATTGCTGCAGACCAAGTAGACTCCTTCATGGAAACAGTATTCCCTAATGGCAGTGGCCTCTTTCAGCAGGAGAATGCTCCTGCCACAATAAAACAATGCTTCAGGAATGGTCGGTTTGAGGAACATAAGTTCAAGGTGTTGACTTGGCCTCCAAATTCCCCAGATTTCAATCTAATCAAGCATCTTTTGGATGTGCTGGACAAACAAGTCTGATCGATGGAGGCCCCACCTTGCAACTTACAGTTCTGGCTATCGGTTGTGATCTGTTCCCAAAACTAAGTAACAGGTAATAAATAACATTTCACAGATGAGAGGCTGTTTTAGAATATTTTACTGTTACGAACGTGTTGAATTTAATATATAGCAGCTAAGCTTTTTAAAACCTGGTTATGTCGCCACGTATACCGGCCTTGCGACAGACTAACCTTACAGCCTGACAAAATGTGCTTTAAAGTTGCAGTAACTGAACACAATGAACATAACGGGTCTCCATTTACCCAGAGTTTTAGGTTCTGGGGAGTTGGCAATACATCATATGTTAGTTAGATCCCATGTGAGATCCACGTGGGATCTCGCAAAAGTTTTTATCTGGGTTGGAGTTTGACTTCAGCTGACTGCACCTGACATAATGGTCACCAACGATCCTCTCTCTGTGGTCACTGCGAGCTGCCGGTGACTTCAGGGACGGAGTATCAAACGACTGCAGTAAAGTCGGACAACTGTCTACTTCCTGTAGCATGAGTTCACCTGTGTCACAGCAGGAGGTTGTCCACACAACTCACTGCAGTAAACGGAAGAGCTGTTCAGTGTTTCTTAATTTAAAGATTATGAATGTTACCCTAAATATGTGACTATATGTGACAAACATTACTGTTTTGCAGAATCTTTTCACACTGTTTACACCCCCAAACACATGTTCTTAAACACAGACACAAGTTTACATTAGACTTTTGACACATGAAATTAAATCTCAGTAATGTTTTATGAAAACACGGAGGGTGATGGGTTAAGGTGTGTGGAGAGAAAGGTCACAGAGCAACACTTATAGAAATGTAATTTCACTGAACTCTCCTCTATTTTGAAAATGTGACAGACCATACACTGTATTCATCACATGAAAAAAAACAATCACAGCCAACTCCTCCACTATCGGTCATGTTTGAACCTGTCAGTGTCCTAACGATGGCGACGTTAAATAAAGATGAGGCAGAAGGTTCTTCACCAGAGACCATGCTCTGATCTGAATTCTGTGTTTGAAGCTTTAGAAGTAAAGAAAGATTCATTTAGTTTTAAATGTTTGCTGTGTTTAACACGACCAAACTTCATCACAAAAATCATAGCCTGACTGCTTCCTTGTTTACAACTCTTCACTTCTTAAACTTTGTGTTTACACTATGTATAAATTTACACTTCAACAAAATCAATAATTCTATTATTGATTGCCATTTTGAAAAGGCATACTCAATATAGGCAATGTAAGCAGTGTAGCTCAAGGTTATACAATTTTTTATAGTTTATTTCCTTGATATGTGAAATATCTCAAAACTTCACATGCACAGGGAGTCATAAGTTTAGGTATAACTCTGTCCATCCTTCACAGGAATTTATCCATAGGAGCAAGAGATATATATTTTCTATAGGAAAGCAAAAATAGTTTTCAACTTTTTTCTGTGGGCCACCCCATTCTGCATCTCAGGATCCTCACTTACATTTCACTGTACAAAAGTACCTTTATTGAAATTATTTTGAATTCCGATATATAACTGTTTGCAAAAGTTTGAAAACCTCCAATAGTTGTACCAAAAAGGCTGTGTGTGAGAGATAAATGAAAACAACTTAGCCTGTAACTGCCATACTATGCATTGTGGGATATACCGATCTTAACCACACCTCTTTTTTTTGTTGAAAAATCACTCACGATCAATCGTGTGACTCTTGAGTAAAGTGTGAATGTGAAACGCTTTTCACATAAATTGAAATAGTTACTGTTTTTCTGCTACTTGCAACTAATACTACACATGCACAATCACCACCTCGCCCATTTAGGAAACAGAAACCATTTCAAACCACTGGCGCTGCCTGTAATGTGTCATCTTCTTAATAGAGGATCTTTGATGGTTCTGCCCCTGTCCTATCAGGACACACGGGTATTTAGCCTAACTGTAGATGATATGTTTTTAGCTAGCTTCATTCTTTGTGACAACAAGATATGGGGACTTTTAAATACACCAACTATCACTCAGAGCAGCGGCCATCCACATATAGCCTCTATTAAGTTTAGCTACTAATGTGGTCTGGTCAAGTTCCATTGTGTTATGCCCTGGTTTATGAAACCAATGCACATAAACTCCTGAGCATTTGATTAAAAACATGCAGGAAAACATAATCCAACGTGTGTGTCCTTCAGTAAAGGTGAGGGCTAATGACTGGTCTAGATGTAAGACATGTTGCAAACACTTTCTTGGGTGTTCCCATGTGTGAAGGTGATTACATCACACTCACACTCTCCAGTGAACACTGAAACTTTTTCTCACCTACAGTAACACACTAAATAACCCTTTTATTTAGCTGAAGAGAAGACAGACATTGAAAACTAAACCCTGTTAAAACCAATTTAATTATAGGTTTGAATTTATTTTTCTTTCAGGGAATGTTGAGGGGCTTGAACCATGAAACTTTATGTTCTTTTTTATAGTCAGGCTCTAATTATGCCTCTTTATTTAACACAACCACGTGTATGTTAGTCCTACATGCAGTGATTTGTTGGCTTGAAATTCCACTGATAGGCTGAGGCAGTGGCAGAATCTCACCAAACTTGTCAGTGATTTTTACATTTCCCAGAGAGAGCCCTTGTCATTTTGTCAGCCTCCCCGTGGCTAAAGTATGCAGGGACAGCGGGGCGGGCTGTCAAACTGTGCCCGCTTGAGAGCGCCTTTCCCCGGGTTGATGAGTCATAATAAGGGCCGGCCAGGTGGTGAAAATGAGCAGGGAGGCAAGTGAGGAATATGTGTGTGTGTGTGTGTGTGTGTGTGTGTGTGTGTGTGTGTGTGTGTGTGTGTGTGTGTATGTGTGTGTGTGTGTGTGTGCATGTGTGTGTGTGGTGTGTGTGTGGTGTGGTGTGTGTGTATGTGTGTGTTGAAGGATTGAGAGAGGAAGAAAAGATGGAGAGAGAGAGAGAGAGAGAGAGATGGTGGGAGGGAGAAGGAGCACTGAGCTGAGTATTCACTCCAGATCTTGGGGGTTTTTCAGTCTCTCACTGCGGAATGTCCTCTCTACTTTTGAAGTGAGTGTAGCCTTTAACTCAGTAAATCACCCTTTATTCTTTCGGGCAGTTTGCCTCTCAAACAATCTGAATCTCTGGATGGAGTAACGTTGCTGCTGCAGCTGCAAAATGAAGGCGCTGTGTTTGAACTTTGCCATCACCTGTCTTTGGCTTCTCCCTTCAGCGGTGAGTATAATCAGTGATCATCTCTGCTCTGCTACTGGGCTTGTGTGCTCACTGTTAACATAAGCTATTGTTGCAGTGGCAGCGGGAGGCTTAATTTTCTGCAGATCTACTTATCTGTGCTGTTGTCAAATAATTCATTTCAAATTCCCACATGTTTTGGTTCTGCTACTGTTCATCATATTGCAGCATTGTTGCACAATCAGGCAGTGGTCTTGTTTTGCTTTGCTTTTTTCAACTGTTTAGTTTTTTTTTCTTGATGGAAGGATGTGTTGGTCCTGAGAATCAAGATTTTCAATTCTTTTGTTACAAAAATAAACAAATGTAGGCCCAAATTATTCATCCACAGCTTTCTGGTAGTTAATTAAAGGATAATAGACAACCAGATGACATTTGGAGCAAATCCTCCAAATTATTTGAAGAAGTAGACAGAAGTGAGAAGTCAAATGATTTGTGCTCAGGTTTGACTCCAGTAAGAATTTTACTGACTTCTTGAGATTTACATCTTCAAAATCTTCCATTGAAAAGTTTGAAATATCCTGTTTTATTCTTTTAAGACATAAACGTGGCACTGGTCTTTTTTTCTGTTTTCTACAGACAGACTCAGAATTGAATGCTTGCATCTCATGATCTGAGAAAGTCTTGATCAAAATTGACTTTTCTAACAGATTGTGAAATTCAGCCAAAATGAATATGTACCGTCCTCAAAATTTTAATTTGTTCCACTCTTCCACTCTCACTCTAGTCTAATTCTCCTTCAGACATAATTGTAATTTAATCTGCTCTCCTGTCTTTAATTGAACTTTCTTAACTGTTCTGCATGAGCAGCCATTTGCAACATCTGTACCTTTAACGGTGAAGCTGCCAGGTGAAACCTCAAAGACACCTCATTTTGTACTTTATTACTTGAACTAAATGATTGTTCAGTCTCTGTCTGTTTGAAAAAGTTTTTATCCCCCTTGGGCTAAAGAAACACTGTCACTTCATTTTTTTGTTAAGTCTGAAAAACTGACGCATTAAGTGTCTTTTTAGCCAATGGCGAGAATGTACTCTCTGTCCTCGAAAATGCAATTACAGCTCTCAGTTTTCTCAGTTTTTTCCTCTGCAGGTGCTTTTGCACAGGTGTTGTGCTTCTTGCTTCCACTCCAACGCTGTTGCTCAGTTGCAGTCACTGTGCTGGCATCTTGACACAGAGCCAATGACACGGCTGTCACACAGTGAGCTCCAATTAGGGTGGGTGAGAACAGCACACAGTTGGAGATTTAGGCTCAGTAACAATAGGCACAGCTGGAGCTCACTTGGTTACAGGAAGAGGCAGAGATTGGCACACAGGGCTGGCGTGGTTAGGGGTGATGTGAATCCCACTTGTTGGTGAGAAATAATGATATAGTGGGAGCTGTTTATTCAGAAACCTGGGGGAGAATCACCCTCAACCTCCATCTGGCTTCGACACATTATGATGAAACAGAAATGAAGTCTTAAACAACAAGTGAGCAGAACTTTTTTGCACATTTCATGTCTGAGTTGTCTAAAAGCATAAAAACCAGTTTCCCACAATTGAAAATTAAATGTTTTTAATGAATGAATTAAGAAAATAAAGTCAGAAACCTGGATTCACCTGACATAGTGAGGTGATCCAATTATTTTTTACTTTTAATTCACTGATTTTTGTTGACATTTTGTGTCTGTACATTTGCTATATTCAAACACATCACAGTGCTACACTACTACTGTGAGATATCAGTCACATAAACATCCTCGCTAATGACTGGATTTATTGGGATTTGAAACAGTAGGTGGCTGCCTTGCTTATTATAAGCTGCTTCATCAATCTGAACAAGCACTTAATTTCCACAGCCGCGCTTCTTTTTTATTTTCTGTGTAGTGCTATTTTTTAACTGAGTGGAACAGTCAGGTGGAATTAACCATGTTTCTGTATATAACTGATGTCTTCTCCTCTGTGTGTGCTAATGCAATCCAAACTATGACTGATACTTCTATGGCAAAAACAATTACTATTTCTCAAAGGGTTCAACATTTTGAGCAATTAGCTACAATAAATGCTGCACTTTCTATAAATGCATCAGGAGGTTGTCCCTCCATATTCTGTATTGATTGGAGGAATAAATGATATTCTAATATTTAGTTTTGCACATAATCTGCAAGCTGTTTACCCATACCTGTAAGAGAAGCGGGTTTTATAGGCTACTGTTTGTTTCAGATACCTTCATTCAGTGTACCAACAAACATGTAAGGGACAGTAACAGAATGGAGGGGAATGTGAATGGAGATGGGCAAATGCAATGATGAAACAGATGTTGTGATAACTTGACAAGGTGAATCCAGGTGGAACCTTAATACATTATTAATTTCAAGTTTGTAATCCAAACCAACTTCAGAATGGAATGGATATTCAAGGGGAGGACGAGGGGAGAAAAGGGATTTTTAGTCCCTTTGAGAGGGCTGAGATGTTCAGCAGAGAAGAGGCTCAATATGGAAAAGATGCACAATTTTACCATTTTTATATTTTCAACAGTGACTTGTGTGTTGACTATGTGCCCTCTCTTCTAAGCATATGGATTAGTAAACCCATAGATGCAGTTCATCATCAAGGTCGCACTGAAAAGTGTTTATACAAAGGAAGGTGAGTATGAGGGAGGACTGCCAAATTAAAATGTGTTAATGGTAGTATGAATGTGACTTTGTGTGTGGGTGTGTGCATGTTCCTTTCTGTAGTCCTTGCCTGAAGGAGCTGACCTACAGTATTGATCACAATCAATTTCAAGTTGTTGTCCTCATTCAGGCGATCTGACACATCAAAGCATAATTATTTGAATTGATTATCTGCTGCCTTGTATCATAGCTACAATTAAACTGTCCTTCATTTGCGGTTGTCCCGGTGGTCTAAAGATCTTTCTCTCTCCAGTCTATCCTGTCACTTTTAATAGTATGGTGCTAATATTGATATGATAGACCTATTAAAAACGATATGAGTATGATGAATATGGAGTGATATAAACACAGGTGTTGGTCTCAGAGTTACAGTCTTGCCAGAGAAACATGTCAGAGATTAATGGAAAGGAATTGTAGTTTTCTTTTGTCTTCCTGAAACCTTAAATGACCGTGAAATCAACTTGTCATCCAGAGTCAAAGTCTTTTTACTACAAAATGTGTTTTTTGTATTTCTATAGACAGCATTTCTGTGCTGCTGCAGTGGAGGGACAGTAACACAAAAAGGGATTTTTATACTAAAAAGACTGAAACTCTGGAAGAAGCCTGTTTGATTTGTGTATCTCAGTCATGTCAACTTCAGCTTCAGAAAAAATGTGAGCCTACAATATCTTTCAATGGAAAACATTTACTCTATAGATCCGTTTGTTACTTATACAGTAACACACTTTCACTGCCGAAATTAAATGGAGCAATTAAATGTGTTTATTTTGGATCATAAAAAGAGAGGTTCTTAAAAGATTAACTGTACAGATACAGACATGATGGCCTTCCAAAAAAACATTGACTGTCACTTCTTAGCAATGTCGAGCCACTGACATGGTGTCCTGAGCTTTTTTTCCCAAGTCAAAACACGGAATACATTTCCTTTTATTCTGTGAATTTAGGGGCTGGTTCATCCTAAAAACACATTTAATCACTTACCTCTAGTTATATCTGGCCATGCAAAGAGTTTTCAGATCTCTGAGGGAAATGTCAGAATTTTGTTTGTTGTGCTGAAACAGAGCTCCTGTTACTTTTGATGGGTGGTAGTTCCAATGAAAACTGTTCACAATGACAGTAACAAAGATGCAGTTTCCGGAAATAAAGTTTAATATTTTTTACATATAATTGTTCAGTTCTGTGAGTATCACAGACAAATCATGTTCATATCTGTTATAACAGGATCTCAAAACCTGGAAAAGTTGTTTTTTTGTGATTTAGTTGAATCGACTCTAAATGAGACAACAAAATTTTATAGTCATTTATGTTTTGCTCTCTGCAGGTCCAAGAAACAGCCAGGCCCTTTTACTTACAGAACCCACAATGGAGGGAGGAGGACGGAGGAAGAGGAGACGCTGTGGGAGCTGCACTGAAGGTTAAACATATCTCCAAAGATTTACAGATAATCTCCACCAAACACAAAACACCTGCTTACGGTTCGCTCGGCCCGTACGGTTGGCCACAGAACTTCTCCCAAGCTTTGGATCAGTACGTGTACCGCCCTGCTCCCAAATCCAAACCTCCTGCTAAAACATCCCCAAAGGCCAAGAAGATCCTGGGCTGGGGTGATTTTTACTTCAACGTGAAAACAATGAAGTTCAGCCTCCTGGTGACGGGGAAAATCGTTGACCACATCAACGGGACTTTCAGTGTCTACTTCCGGCACAACTCCTCCCGTCTGGGGAACATATCTGTCAGCATCGTCCCGCCCTCCAAAGCTGTAGAATGGGAAGTTCTGGATCCTGTGACTCAGAGCACTCACACCAAAAACTCAGTCCTGGTTCCAGATGTGATGTCTCACTTCCAGAATCCCCCTCAGTCGACCAGTCCCCCCCCCCCTGACCAGCAGAAGCAGCAGCAGGACATGATGATGGTGACCGAACTTAACTGCCGGATTGAATACCAGAGAACCAACCGGTCCAAGAAGACCAAACCCTGCATGTATGACCCGGGGCAGACCTGCTACTCAGAAAACACCCAGTCTCAGGCAGCCTGGATCTGTGCCAAGCCCTTTAAGGTTATATGCATCTTCATCGCCTTCACCAGCACCGATTACAGGCTGGTGCAGAAAATCTGTCCAGACCACAACTTCCAGACAGAGCAGAACCAGCAGCACTTTGGTTGACAGATTCTGCAAGGCTGAAACTGAGACATCACACCATTTTTGACTTTTCACACGTCCTTCAAAATCATGAGTTCAGTTTTTCAAAATGGGTTTGAGGTTGACTGTTTTTATACGCCGCTAAAAACTCATTTTCAACATGTCAGTGAGATGTATGATAATGTGTTGATAGCAGAACATGAGCTTTGTTGTTTTCTGAAACTACACTCACCCAGTGTGATTGATTCATCATATCACTTTGTGTATTGTGTTTTATGAATTTTGTTTTCTGAATATGTATTAATAGATGTGAAGACTTTAAACTGAAACTAGTTACTTACTATGTGAAAGATGTGACTTCTTGACTCATTAATAAAACAAAATAGATTCATCTCTAGGGAAAGAATCATCTGTAGTTCTGGAAGCATGAACTGACTTGAAGAGCGCTTGTTCATTGCACAGTAGCAATGATTGATTAGATATTTCTACTTCAAAGACGTGAACCAGATGACAAACAGTTGTAGTCACTTTTATCAGTGACACAAAGTACGCATGTCCTAGGCTCCCGTCCAGTACTGATTTTACTTTCACCCTTTGCACCCTGAAAGTTTTGGTTGTTCCGGGCCTCTGCTGTCAGACATGCTTACTTTGTCATTACGCCACACATTACAGGTGAGTACATTTCTTTAACAGTGTATTTATTTTAGAGCTTTTTAGAATACATGCACATATAATTTATTTTCTTCTGCTCCTAAGAGCAGTTGTGACTAAATTACACATTTCTGAAAACTAGGTCAGTCTTGTCACCCCGGGTTACCTCCCCCCTGATGGAAATGTCTGGTTTGTCAGTCCAGTTGCATAAGTGTCACCGTGTTTGTCTGATAACTGTGATGATCTCAGGTTGTTAAAAGAGAAAAGAGTGTTACTGTTTGTCCCAGAATAATTTTTGTTGTTGGAGGAAAATTGACTGTACAGTCTGGGCTTTATATAAGACTTAATATGGTCAAGGCTTAGAAAACATAATGAACACAAAAGATGAAAGGAGACTTGCTTCAATATATTTTTATGCTTGAACAGTAATCTGTGTATTAGCCCAAAGTAGCACATAGTTATGTAAGTATCATGCAGCTACATGCTGCCTTCAACAAACAAGGCCCTGATAACCAAGTCACTTGTGTGTCTGGCCAGCCCACATTACACTTTTCATGTCCAAGGTTTTCCATAACCACTCTGCTGAATAACACGTTTGGTTGTTCTCTGCCTTTCATTTAATGGATTGTTTAGAACATCAAAAGACACATTATTCTAACTCCCTTGTTTCCAAACCCCCGGTGCAATGTATTTTGAGTGATGAAAGCGTTTTTGCACAGGCTTACTTTTCATGAGGTTTTCAAAAGACACCAAAGGAGCAATCTTGGACAACAACAACAAAACAGAATCCCTCAGAAACTTTTCAACTCTAGCACAATGGAGAGTTGCACCAGCTCCTGTGACTTAGCATTTGTATCCTCGTTTAGGTTTAATTAACTTTGTAGAGCAGAGCAATCTCTCCAGGGTCGTACATTATTTTCAGTGACAGAGAAGAGTTTTAAAACCATTATTTAAGAAGTGGATATTTAGTCATTGACTTTGATGATTCTTGTCATTCTTGTGCCATTATCCACCACCCCATGCTGCAGCCCTTCTTCCACAGGGTTTCAGGATGTTTGGGCCAAGGTCATCAGATCACTGTGGAGTCGTGCAGGCGAGGCCTCAGCAGTACCAGTGGGTGGTCAGGACAGGAAAGTCTGGCCCAGGATGACCCAGAGATGTGGAGCCTCCTCCAGCAGGAGAAGGACCGGCAGTGTCGGGGGCTGGAGCTCATAGCATCAGAGGTGAGATCCAAATCTCTTTTAAAAAATAGGATGGACAGAAGTAGTACAGTGGATATGTTTTGTATTTCATGGACTGTTTTCTGATTTTCTTTTACTGTTTGTTACTTACTATTTAGTACTAACTATTGATAAGATTCCTTTTTTAAATCACGGAACTGACAGTTGAACAGAGGGTGAAGAGTGATTGTGAGTAATGAGACCATATTGGAGAGTCGGGGTCCCTTTGGTTATTTTGCTGATTTAAAATAATGAGTGGAAGTTTCACTAATTCTTCACCAGAGCTGTAGTTTCTGGTATTGAGCTGTTTTCTTCAGTGAGATTTCCTTTTCATTTTCCCCCTTGAAAGTCACTGATTTCATCTAGTAGAAGCTGTTGGAAAAGAAGGGAGCTTTCATTCTTTTATTCTCCAGCAATTATGAATCCACAACACTATCAGTCACAATGACATCTGAAAGATTTTCATCTTCTTGTGCATGTGCTGTCAGTCAGTCACCACTGCAGGCTGACTCCCAGTAGAGAGCTCCTGTTTTTTTCTCCAGGAACACAGTCAAATGATCCCATTAGGTTTCCTCACTGATTTCTGCCATTGATCTCCTCATTTTAAGTTGAGACAGAGGAGAATGGGCAATTGTGGATGTGTGTGTGTTTGTGTTGTGTTGAGATAGTGTTTTGAAATGTCATAGACAGAGTTTTATGTCACATCTGGGACTGGTTTTAAATCCCGCTGGAATGATTGAGGGATCCCTGAACAGCGACAGGTTTAGTTTAATACCAAGGCAGAGGAGGTGGCTGTAGAGGACAGAGAGAGAGTGAGTGAGGGAGGGAGAGAGAGAGAGAGAGAGAGAGAGAGAGAGAGAGAAAATATGTGCAGAAGTGAGACAGGAAAATTATTCATTTACATTCATTTCCTTTTCTGCAGCTCCATCTGTCCTCTGACTCTCAAGTGTCTTTGTGAGATTTGAAGCTGTGCTGAACCCCACAGGATTCAGTATCAGTTAGATTCCTCTATATTCTTTCTTTAATTTGACTATACTTTAATATTTTTTAAAAAGCTCATTTTTCAGCTCCCAGACAAACTATGATAAACATTTTGCAAAATTTATGCAATAAATCTAACTGATTTCAATTGCTTTGATTATCCTTCTACTTGTCTTACTGTCTTTATAATTGGAGAGTGTGGTTGCACTGTGTAGCTGGGTCTTGCTGAAAAAGAGCAGTAGTGCTCAGTCACCCTTCTCCAGGTAAATAAAGGTTATATTTGGATGGTGACAGTGTTCTGAATATGTAAGCTTGATAAAAGAATGCACAGTGTGTGGCTCTGGATCTTGACACTGTGCTTGTTTGTCCTGTCAGAACTTCTGCAGCCGTGCAGCGCTTGAGGCGCAGGGCTCATGTCTGAACAACAAATACTCTGAGGGATACCCGGGACAAAGGTAACTACATGGATAATGCTTTTCCAGTTATAGTGCATGTGATTTAAGATTGTGAACAAGAAATTTGGAGCTTTTGAAACAGAATTTCATTTTCAAAATGTCAGTGAAGTGGGCTTGGGACTAGATGCAATTCAATATAATAAGACCATATGAAACGATAAGATTTAATACTATACAATACAAAATGGCACAATACAATACGAAACAATACAATACAATACGAAATGATACAATAGAATATGATATGATACAATACAATATGAAACGATACAATACAATATGAAACATGATACGATAAAATATGATACAATACAAAATTATATGATATTGTTTGACACAATCTGATGATATGTAGTACAATACAATACGATACAATATCATAAAAAATGATCTGATACAATATAATACAGCACAAAATTATACAATATGATACAATACAATACAATATGAAACGATGCATTTTTCCTATCAAATCTTAATGGTGGCCTCTTGTTTATCTCAGGTACTATGGAGGTGCAGAGATCGTAGACCAGATTGAGCTGCTGTGTCAGAAACGAGCGCTTGCTGCCTTTGGTCTGGACCCAGATTTGTGGGGTGTCAACGTCCAGCCATACTCCGGCTCCCCTGCTAACTTTGCAGCCTACACATCTGTGCTGCGGCCTCATGACCGCATCATGGGCCTGGATCTGCCCGACGGAGGACAGTGAGTGAACATATTCTCTTTTTCATAAATGTCAACCTTCTGGATTCTCTCGTTTGTTGTCAGTTTAGAAAGTGATGTTGCAACAACGGTTTTTTTCAAGAGGTAATAGAAATAACTAATAAATTGATCAAAAATCTAATAAAAAGTGACTTAATAACTAATAGTATCTTGTAAATGATTCTATAAAAATAAAATAAGTAGTAATTGCTAGGTAATGATAATGTGATCGTATGCCATTACTGAGAATTCAAAACAATGAATTATTAAATAGACCTATTTGGTTCATTTAACTGGACACTTTATTAAATGTCTGACAGTTAATACATTATTAGTTGCTACAATGAAATGAAAATGGTTTGAGATATTTTCCACATGAAACTGGATGTTGTTTTTGGACATGACGTCAAAATGCATTAATGTAAATGACAAACTGTTAGTCACACATTCGGGAGTTGTCACATTATCCCTCCCTCTTTAAAAGAAATATATTTTAAATGCTTTAACTACAGTAATAGAACCTTGGGAAATGAAAACAAACACTCAAAATATACTTAGGCTGTAGTGAGAGTTCACTTTATGAATGCAGACCAAGTTTTAATACTGCATGACTAACACCATGTAAAACTTATCTGGTGGAAGGTCGGGACTTGGTTGGAAAGAAAGAAAAAATTTATACAAATATCCATAGAAGACATAATGTATTTCATATATAAAAATAGCAGAACAATGCGCCAAGAAGCTAAAGACAACAACATGAAAGAGCATTTTCAAAAGACATATAACAATATCATATAAGGAAGATTTAGTCTTTGCATGAGCAGACACATTCAGGTACAAGCTACAGTCACTAAAGATGAGTAGTAGATGAGAGGAAGGTCAGTTTCATAGAAATTATTTTTACTATATTGGATCATGTAAATATACTGTCAGAAAAGAAATCAGGAGCTACAGAGGTCAGAATAAGTTCACAATGCTGCAGAAGCCCCTCACCTGCTGTTCTGATGATCTGATGCACGCTGAATTATGAATCTATTTATTTCTATTCCATGACATTTCAGCCTTACCCACGGCTACATGACAGATGCCAAGAGAATCTCAGCCACCTCCATCTACTTTGAATCGATGCCTTATAAACTGGATGTGAGTAATCATTTGTTTGACTTTTTGTTAATAGAAATTAAGAGTTGAATCAAACTTGTCACAGTGAATCTGTGAAGGAAAACATGCTCCAGCTGAAAAGATATCAGACTGTAAAACTCTTCCCTCCATCACCTGCCACTTGTATCATCTCAGCCTAAAACAGGTCTGATAGATTATGACCGGCTAGAGAGCACGGCCCGACTCTTCAGACCAAGACTCATCATCGCAGGGACCAGTGCCTACGCTCGCCTCATCAACTACGCTCGCATGAAGAAGGTACTTCTTACATCAACAATTATCCTGTTCACCATCTTGTTTCCTAAAGTAGCAGTGGTACAAGTAGTAAAACCAATAATTAAAAAGCAGTTTGTTAAATTCCCAAATTAAGAGTAGAAAAATATAACAACAATAAAATTAGGGAACACAAAAAGAATGATGTACAATGTTTTAAAAGCCTGAACATGGGAATGAGTTTTGTCACTTAGTGTCTGTGACTGTGTGTTTCAGCTGTGTGTGGAGCTGAATGCCTACCTGCTGGCAGACATGGCTCATATCAGCGGCCTGGTGGCAGCAGGAGCTGTTCCCTCTCCTTTCCAACACGCCGACCTGGTCACCTCCACTACCCATAAGTCCCTACGTGGAGCAAGGTGAGTGCCAGGATGCTGTGTGTGATTTTTAAAAATAATTTATAACAGGACAAGTGTCAACTCAGGTCAGGTCAGGTTGTTAAGATAGTGTGTTTTACTTCAAATCTGACTCATGGCCCTTTGCTGCATGTCATCCCCTCTCTCTCTCTCCCTGATTTTCCTGTCTGTCTCTTGCTTCACTATCTGAATAAAAAACTTAAAAAAAACAAACTTCAAGAGACATGTCAGGCTGAGGCTCTCTTTCTCTCTCCGCTCGGCAGGGCTGGTCTGATCTTCTACCGGAAAGGTGTGCGGTCTGTGGATAAGAAAGGTCTGGAGGTGACCTATGACCTCCAGGACAGGGTGAACTTTGCTGTGTTCCCTTCACTTCAGGGAGGCCCTCACAATCATGCCATTGCTGGGGTGGCCGTCGCCCTCAAACAGGTCCAGATACTTTTTTAAAAACATTTTTTTGTTACATTTTGTTGTTTTTTGTCAACAATAGCCCAATCAAAATCAAATCAGAGAGAAAATCACTCTCAGCAGAATATATGAACGTCAGCGTCAGCGTTCAGTAGCTCATGTATAAATCACACGTCCTAGTTGTCACCTGGAGTGTCTTAATATGAACTAACGAATAATTTCTGTCTCTGCAGGCTTCCACTCTCATGTTCAAACAGTATATCGCTCAAGTGCTGCTGAACGCCAAGGCCATGGCTAACGCTCTGCTGAGGAGAGGCTACACCCTGGTGTCAGGTACAGAGGCAACTGCTTCATACATTTTTTTTCTTGTATAAAAAAAACATGCATTTACATAAGCTATTTGTTTATCTTTTTATGTTTATCTTTTTTCACTGACTATGGAATTAGTGGTAACATTGCATCTCTTGATTCAGTCACTTTTGGATCACTTCTTTATTCACTCCAACCTCATTTGCATTCTGTTCCTATGACTGTGGAAAAGTTCATTTAACCTTCACTTGACAGTAGATTGAATGGAAATGGAAATTTATCTCGCTGCCAGACGCATTTACCCCTAAACTCAACACAATTTAATTTTATCCTAATCATTCATTTTTAATCTCTCCTCTCTCTCTCAGGTGGAACGGACAATCACCTGGTCTTGGTTGACCTTCGACCTCGCGGGATTGACGGGGCTCGGGCAGAGAGGGTCTTGGAGCTGGTGTCCATCACTGCCAACAAGAACACCTGCCCCGGAGACAAGAGCGCCCTGACTCCAGGAGGACTCAGGCTTGGTAGACAAATAAAAACATAAGAGTTTGTGCAGAATGGGCTGGTAAATGGATTATTCTTGGTGAAGAGCTGCAGGAGTGGAGGTTGTTTGGGCGGAATCTGTCAACCAGTCAGTCTTCCTACCCGTATGATAGTGAATCCTTTCTTCTCTCTCTGTGGGCCTGTCTTTGTGATGTGTCTCTGTTCGCTTTCGTCTGTCTGTTATTGTCTGTGTGTCCGTTGGCCTGCCAGTCAATCTGTCAGCATGTCTCTCTCAGCCGCACCAGTCTTAACCTCTTTATCAGCTTTATCAATCGTGATGGAGCTAATATTGTCATATCTTCTTCATATTCTTACCTTGATTTTATCTGTTGTCACTTTTTCACAGGAACCCCGGCTCTGACCTCCAGACAGTTCGGCGAGGCAGACTTTGAGAAAGTTGTGGAATTTATTGATGAAGGGATCCAGATCGCACTGGATGTGAAGAAGAAGACTGGTGAGAGAAGACAAAGTTTCTTTATTTTGTCTAAACTTTTCATTTATCAGAGAGAATGGTGGAGTGGTGTATGGTGACATATTGTTTGTAGAACACCTGAACAATTGATAATGACATGATGATGTGCACCAAATGAAAAGAAAAATCTAATCTTCTATCTTAACAAGCCCTCCCATCCCCAATACCTTTTGTACAGTCCCTTAACTTTTTCCATTACATACTGAGGACACCTTCACAACACTTCACTTGTCTCCCAACAGGAAACCTGGCCAGCTTCAAGTCCTTCCTTCTGGAGGACCCAGAGACAGTGTCACGCGTCACAGAGCTCCGCCAGCGGGTGGAGCTATTCTCCAGGCCCTTCCCCATGCCAGGATTCACTGACCACTGACAACAGCACAGACACATGTATCTATGCTAGTCATAAAAACATCAAGTTAGATCAAAAGAGAAAGGTTTGATCAAGTGATGACTCATATAATTTCAGTATCACATGTTTATTATTTTCTAATGGCTGTAACAATAATGCTAATGTGTAATAGTAATGTAATAACTTATTACAAGTGGTCCCATTATTTTATGTATAACACATTATGATATAGCAATAAGCAGATATAGCGGTTTTATATATATATATAGTGGTTAAATAATTTGTCAACAACTATAACTCAATGAATGGAGGCTAGTGTATAAAAAGCTAATAAATGATATATAGTAAAACACTTAAATGTGTCCTTACCTACTGCTACATTATATCATGTTATAAATCATTTATTAAGTGTTCATTAACAGCTTATAAATGTGAAATAAGGAGACTTACAGTAAATTAGTGTTACCTCAGTGTCTTGTGCTCCTGATGAAGTGATGTCACAATAATGAGATGATGTTAAATTGCAGCAGGTTATCACATCAGCAGGTTTAAATAAATTATCTCATTCAGCAGAACAACTTGTTACACTTTGGCGACTTATTAGAGTAGGGGACAAAATTCTCATCAGCCACTTTGGGAAATTATGTTTGAACCTTTTAGATATGGAAAAGGATTGGTTTCGTGCAGGCAAGAGATGACCAGGTCAGTAATACTGATCATTTCCATAAAGATGGAATTCATTAAAAACAAAAAAAATTTAATAAAAAAATGTTGCACAGTAGTGTACATCATCTGTAGCTGCTGCAGTTTTCACTTGACAGACAGACCACAAGTGTTTTAGGTAATTGTTTTTTTGTCCCCAAGCTCTTTCTAGAGCTCTCTCTCAACGTTAGGCCCTGGGAAACTCACAGTAGCTGTGTTGGGAAGTGAACTCACGCTCAGTTCACACCCACAAAACTACAAACCAAAAATCACCCATAGCTTCACTTTGATTTGCTCTTGTAAAGGATTTGTGAAGAGTGTACAATGTAAATACAGTAGATCTTCTTCAGTGTAATAAAAAGCCATCCTGAATGTTTGATGACTTTCCTTTCAGAGGCTCTCTTGTCACTTGCGTTGGTCTGGCTGTGGGATGAAAGCCTGCTGCTGTGTAAGATTTGATAGAGAGGCAGATGATTTATGTTTACAGTGAAAGGAGGGAAGAGACTCTTCAGATTAAATAAACACTGATCCGTGTTAAGCTGCTGGCATTTCCTCTGGTCATTTCCTCTCACTGTCATCTTCAGGGAACAGTCCAGAAGAAGAAAATCAGCTCTGGACAGAGACAGAGATCGGACAGGAAGATAGTTGGAGCCAAAGCTTCACACCCTGAAAAACAATCTTCTCTTCAACCAGGAGCACCTTCACTCAGCTGTTGGCAGAGGTTCCTACTTCCAGCTAAACTATTTTTATTTTTATGATACTGTGTCTTTATGTCACCCTGTGGCCCCACATTATGCTAATATACACAGACATATACACGAGAAGATGAGAACATTATGTAGCTCCAGAGTTCTTCACTGTCCTCACAAATCCTTCAGAACTTCCATTTCTGTTTATTTAAACACATCCTCTCCCACTCAGTCTGTTCTTTATACAAATAAGCAGAGCCAGCTTCCTCTTTCTCTCACTCTGGGTTGTAATTACAATGTTTGCTATTGTTTTATTTTGATGAGTTTATTTCTTGTTCTAAGAGGAACATTTCCTCTGGGACACAAAGTGCTTTATAAACGAGCCGTGCAACATGAAGCTGCTGCTGCTGCCTATGGGAGCGCTCAATATTTATTTCATTAAAGAGCTGAATGGTGGCGCCTTGGTGGCTCACCTGGTAGAGCGCGTACCACATAGGCTTGTCCTAACCGCAGCAGCCATGGGTCCAAGTCTGACCCATGGCCGTTTGCTGCATGTCATACCCTGACTTTCCTGTCTATCTCTCACTCTCCTATTAGAATAAAGGCAAAAATGGCCAAAAAAAGAATTGAATGGGCTTTTGTTTAGTGTCAGTCTTATTTGCATTCTTCTCTTTTTTTTTAATCTGTCTTTCAACTTTTTACTTTTTTGCTTGAGCCTCTGACACAGGAATGTGTCCCCTCCACAGAGAGTGGCCCGGCTGAATCACAGGTCAAAGGTCAGGGAAGCTCTCAGCTCTGTAATCAAAAGACACACACAAACACACACACACACACACACACACACACACACACACACACACACACACACACACACACACACACACACACACACACACACACATGTAGCATCACAATACAAATAACGACTCATCTCTGTTCCTGTTTCTCATGACCCGACAACTGCTTTGACGCAGTATGTGTGTGTGTGTGTGTGTGTGTGTGTGTGTGTGTGTGCGTGTGAATTTTAAGGCTTTTAAATATCCTTTAGGGAAAGCATTGGATCCCTCATGTTCCATCGTTCTAGGTCACTAGCCCTATCCTAATTTCTGCAACAATCCCTGTGGTCTTCAAAAGGAGGATGTTTTTTCTTTTTTTATCTTTGTTATTCTTATTCTGTCTTTATTCTGTCTTTTTGTTGCATTGCAAGGAGGAAAATACAAGAGACGCTGAGATGAATATGGGCTCAGAGCACAGAGAGCCGAAGGAGAGGTCTGGGGTTTCTTAAGAGGATGAAAGGAGTCTCACCTTCACTGAACAAAGCTGAGATTGTAAGAATTTAAGAGTTTGTTTAATTTATCCTTCAGAAGGAGTCTGGGAGTTACTGAGGCAGTTAATACAGCAGGAAAGAAGGGAGGGACAAATAGTGTATGTTTATATTTAATACGACAGAGGGAATAGTTTCAGAAATCAGGACAACATACTGTATGCTATCCAGTCTGAAGTCAGGGACTGACACATCCTTTGGTCTCCCACACATTTATATTACAGTCACTTTAACAATACTCCATTTACATTCATTCATTCATTTTCTACCGCTTATCCTCTAGTAGGGTCGCGGGGGGGCTGGAGCCTATCCCAGCATCTTCTCGGGCGAGGTGGGGTACACCCTGGACAGGTCGCCAGTCCATCGCAGGGCACACACACAGAGACAGACAACCATTCACTCTCACAGCCACACCTATGGTCAATTTAGAGCAACCAAGTCCCCATTTGCATGTCTTTGGACTGTGGGAGGAAGCCGGAGTACCCGGAGAGAACCCACACAAGCACGGGGAGAACATGCCAACTCCACACAAAAAGATCCCGCGACCGAGCCAGGACTCGAACCCGGAACCTTCTTGCTGTGAGGCGACAGCGCTAACCACTGCACTACCGTGCCGCATTACTCCATTTATAATGTATCTTTAATCAGTGCTTTGTTCTGTGCTCAGTATCATCTTCAAAAGAATGAAGCAAGAATGGAAGAAGCAGAGTTGAATATGAAACCAGAATATGAATATGAAAACAGTGTTTGTGATTGAGATGTTGTGACTTTAAAATCTTTGCAACCACTTTTTTCCTCTTCACCTGCATCTCTTTTTAACGAATAGGTGTTAAAAGTTTTAACCTGATTCACCTCATCACTGTCTTTCATTCTCAGCCCATATGCACTGTATGTTCTTGTTTCTGCAGCATGGAGAGACAGTGGTACCTGGATGTGGGCTGGTGTGTGTGCGTGTGTGTGCTCAGGTTGCACACAGTGTGCTCTGCTGTCACACATCAACACCATGCTGGGGGACTGTTCAACATCCTGCCACTGCTGTCCTTGATCAAAGACACACACAGGGCTGCTGTCACACACACTGGTGCACACAGACACACACACACACACAAGCTCCCAGACACTCCACTAACTGTGGTTATAGAAGCACTAATCAGACTGTAAAGTGAGAGCTGCACTGCCAACAGATGGATCTGTTCCATCATAGTTACTGATTTACTGATTTGTATTTTTATCTCAGGATGTGGAAAAAGATCTGTATCTGACTCCGTTCCATGCAGGTGTTTGAGGAAAGTCACCTGTCTGTGTACGTGTGTGTGTGTGTGTGTGTGTGTGTGTGTGTGTGTGTTGGCAAGAGAATACTCTAATTCAAACATGAATCAGACACTTGATTTATTGAGAGAGTTCAGCTCAGTTTTCATAACTTACACAGTCATTGTAGAATTTAGTGGCTGCTAAACCTGCAATCATGTGACAGTTATGAAGAAACACATGCAGTTCCATCACATTAACTGGACCTTCAATGCAATACATTGTTATTTTATGAGAAGGTGGTACAGTTAGTTGAAGAATATACTGTATAAGGAAACACAAGCCTTGCAGCTGCAGAATAGGACAACACTGTGTTGCATTCAACCTTCAGACACCAAAGAGATGAAAAAAAGCTCAAAGAAGCACATCATAGTGTTTGCAAATGTAAGCTCCTAAATTACAAATAATGTATATTAATAGATACCTGGAACAATCACATGAATGCATTCAAATTTCAAAAACACAGCAGACTGGTTAATAAAATGTAAGGCATTTGTGATTTTTTTTCAATACCACTGGAAAATGTCACCAAATCTAAACTCCTTGGTTTATAATGTATGAGCGAAACAGGCCAGGATGGTTTAGACATAAAGCGAGCATGTGCATCCATGTGTCATATGTCTCCTGCATATGTTGTAAGTATGTAGAAATGTTACATATTTAACTTTTTCAGGTTTCATGTGTGCCCTCAGGATCTGTTGACTGACCATCCCAGTCACATTAACAGTGTCACAAGTTTGTCAGCAGTGACACTATCCTGATCTAGGATCCTTTTCACTTTCCACCTGCAATGAGGAGGGGAATGAATCTGACCGTAGATCAGGATGTTCTCTGATTTTCCACTCTGGGTTGTGCGATTTAGAAGTCAGGTCCCTCCTTCTTCAGGTTTTTGTAGTCAGTGGTGATGGCCACAAACTGGGGAAGAAAAAGATCAAATTCAACAGAAGCTTGATGATTATAACATCTATATCCAAAGTGACACTGTGTCTCAAAGTGTCACTCCCATTTCCTAACACTGAATACTTGTGTCTGTATTACCTTGTACTGGTATGTGGGGTCAAGTTCATTCCATGGCTCTGGGTTATTGGTTTTGTTCCAGCTAAACACACAAAGAGATGTGCACAGTTAGGCTGTTTGGGAATCTGATATAAGGATAAATCTTTCATTTGGACCTACCACTCCCAGTAATCTGATCCCCTTTCATTGTTAGATTATACAAAATAAAATATAGAATAGAATAAAAAAGGAAGCAAAGACAAGCAAAAGCTGAGGGTCACATTCAAACTCAACACACAGTATGTGCTTTAAGCCCACTGTGCCACCACCAGGACATGCTCCCCAGTGATTTCATCAAGCTTGTAAACAATCACTGCTGTAAAGAAATGATGAAAGACCTGCGAGGAGACGGGACAGAGCTACATCCTGTGAGCTCTTGTTAAAAGCACTTAGCTGTGTCTGCTGTAATTAGAGTATCATTAAGGGTAGAACAACAGTTTAGATAGCAGCAGGAGGAGAGGACGTCCAAGCAACATATGGCTTGAGGGGGAAGTGAAAGCAGGCAGGGTACCCTGTTGTCAGTAACACTCGTAAAACAAATCCCTCTGTTTAATTAGAGTGAAAAAGTATTCATCTGCCCTCCACTTGCCTCATTAAAGATGTTGACAAATCTTCATTTTAGGATGATAATAGGACTTACAGAGGAAGAAAGTCTCAGTTTAATTAGTCTAAAATCAACATTTCCTTGTGGAAACAGGTGTTTTAACCAGGAAAAACACAACTATTAACAAGCTAATTAGCAGATTCCATGTGCACAGTGACACATTTGATCCAAAACCCATGAAAAAAATGTGTCACCTGCTGCTTCATCTTTAATGCCAAGAAAATGTAGATGATCTTTGTATAGCATGTGATCAGAAGTCAGGGTGAAATGTGAAGGTGCTTACATAATGTAGGGTGCTCTGGCAAGACGAAACAGATACAGACATGCTCCGCCCATTCCCAAACAGATGAAGAAGAACTGGGGGATGAGCTGAAGACAGAGAGAGAGAGAGAATCACAAGATTAAACTCCTTACATCTTATATCATGTTGGTTTATTTAGCCTTTCTTGATTTGTTATTTATGAATATACAGATACCTGAGCTATATACAGATACTGAGGTTACATTTCAAAGAGCAAAACGCCTCTTTGTGTAATTGCATCTTTGTTTGACT